CTCTCTCTCTTTCTTTCTCTCTCTCTCTCTCTCTCTCTCTCAAATCATCATTACCATTCATTCACCAACATCTTCCCAGGTTTTTTCTTAAATGTGTTCTTGAGAAAGGTTCTAAGAAAAAGTCTACATCAGATTTATAATGTTCTTAAACCACAGAATTGTTCACATCTTTGTGCTCTTGAGTGTGTGTTGATTCTGTTGTTACTTAAGAACAAATCCAAAATAAGCATACATTGTCTTCATGAAAACTGTCTAAGTGGGTTTTAAGAAGAAATTTCTTCTTAAGAATGTTTGCTGACTGAGTCCAAGTGTTCTGGGCATCAATGAACAGTATTTTGTCAGCAGCTTGCTAAGAATTATCGTTGTATTTCAGTTCACATGGTTACACACACCTGATGTCTGATGTAAACTGGACGCAAGAACAGCAAGGATTGGTGAAGCTTAATCCAATCTTTAGCTAACATCACCACAGCTCACAGAATCTCACTTCTCGCAGCTATCAGCTCTGCGTTAATCAAGCAGTTGTTTGTCAAGCTGAATGCTAGTAGCAAGAAATTGTAATTGTAATTGCGTTTTTAAAGGAACTTAGTTTGAAGCAACTAAACTGTGGAGTATCGCATGTGTTTGGTCATGTTGCACATCAGTTAAATGGGCTTGTCCTATCAAAGTCGGCAGTTCTCAAAACAACCAGGACTGGCTGGTGAGACTGTATTTCAGTGTGGTTTTATGCAGTCTATAGTGGAATTGGTTTCATCTCTTGTAGTGTTTATGAATTAATAATAAAGTTATAAATAAACTGATAAAGTATGTTTTATCATCACTGCATTTCTGTCCTCAACTAGTCGGCTGCTGCCCACAGCACTGAACAGTGGATTTATCAGTCGGCTAATCTATGCAACCCCTTAACACAGGGGTCGGCAACCCAAATGTTAAGAAGAGCCGTTTTGTCCTTTCAACAAAAATCATACCACATTGGGAGCCACAACATTTTATGTCCATTTTACTGAAGTAACATTTTACCATCTTGGCTGTAAATATGTAAGTATTCAGTATGTGCTAATGTCCTAGTACAAGTGAAAACATATAAACGAAAACTCAGACTTACTTTGCTCTGCTTTAGGGGTGCAACGATTATTCGACTTAGTTGACTAAAATCGACAACCAAATTAGTTGGCAACTAGCTCACTAAAGAGTGTGTAATAATAGTGCATATACCATTAGAAGTGCACTCATTAGTGTAGTGCGTGAAGTACAGAAGTGTGTGGTTTGGGAGGCGGTGATAGTTGTGCTAGCAAACTAGTTAACTAATGGTAATGTTATATTCCGTCCTACTTCTTGTTATGAACTGTGACATTTTCTGTTTTGAAATGCACGTTCTCCTTAATCGTTAATGGAGTTGGAACAGATAAGCAAGTAACTACTATTTACAGTGACCCTGTTCACTTTCCAGATAACGTTTACAGTTTTAAACACTGCATCGGCTTCTTAGCGTTGAGGCTGCCGGTGTGTTCAAATTCGGCGAACACAGGAGAGCGTTCACAAACTGTCGTCCGTGGCCGTTTGGCTCCGCTGGCAAACAGGTTTTGGGGGTAGTTCTCTGTGAACACACAGGGTAGCCGGTTACCGTTGAAATAAAGTGTTTACACAAAATCGTTCATTTAACTGTTCATGGAGAAGTTCGCCACAAATGTTCGCCACTTTCCCATCCGCTCCATCAGAGCGCATCAGTGGGGAGTATTTGCTCTCAGAGGAGAGCGAGACTCTCACAGGAGCACGGAGAGATGCTGACTTTCCTCTGTTTCAATACAGACCTGTGACTGTAAAATTTAGTTGGCACAGAGTTTAAACAGACAGCAGAATGCACAGAGCACAGACTGCACTGTGTAAATGTCACATTTAAATTTAGATTTGTTTTTATGTTTATTTCATTAAAGGAAAACTGATTTAGTTTTGTTAGATTTTATTACTGCTACTTTGTACATCCTTGGTTAGAAATTTTGACAGGAAAAATAATTGGAGTTTTATTTTTTTATCTCTTGTATTAACAGGAAAGTTCATTACAACAGTGAATTCTTTAATGTTATTCATCTTTATTGTCTTGATTGTTAGTTAGCAAATGCATAAAACAACCTCAAGCTAAATTCAAAAGCTAATAGCTACGTAAAAGTTATTTGGTAATGTAGTGATTCATAATCCGAATAATCGTTCATTCGTTTCAGTAATCAATAGATTATTCAACTATCAAAATAGTCATTTGTTACAGCCCTACTCTGCTGTCAGCTTTAGCTCAGCTGTAGCTGCTTTTCTCGCATCTCCAGCAGGAAATTTTTTGCACAAATGTAGAAATGTAGTTTCTCGTAAAATGTCTCTCAATGTTTGATTTTTTATGAGGCTGAAGTCCGCTTCTCATTCACCAGCTTCTTGTTCAAATTTTCTCATTCCATCTTAAATTTGCCTAAGGCTCCAGAATGTAACTGTGGCTCAACTTAAGGTGGAACAGGAAAATTAGAACAAGAAGCTGGCGAATGAGAAGCTGACTTCAGCCTCGTGACTTTTTATTGTTTGACGGTTTCTCATTGCAGATTAAATGTATCAGGAAACCACCCTGAGTGCTTATAAGTGCAAATAAGTTCATTTGTTTCCAAATTAACGATGTTCGTCTTTAATTTTACTCTTTGCCTTTTTGTTAGCTGCTAGCTAGGCAAGACGTCTGCGTTGCTATGGTGACCAGCAGTCTGCATGCCAACCTTCAGGGTTAAATGTTGGTAAATTAGCAGTTAGTTATACATTAACTCCAGTGTTTTAAGACATGTTAGAATGATCAACAGAGCTTTATTTTACTGCAAAGCAGGATTATTTTTATTTTTGCCTAAAAATCGAATTCTGCTGTGGAGCCGCAACAGTGCAGTAAAAGAGCTGCATGATGCCGAGCCCTGCCTTAACACATATAACCACACATAAGCAACAGCAAGCATCCCCTTACACATGCACACACACACACACAGTGTCAACTTTGTTTACCTCCCCTGATCAGCGTGATTCCGGTTGATCAAGCATGCGCATCAGTGGCACACTTGATTAATCTATCACAGCTGTCACCACTGCCTGTAATCATCCCCTTTCATTAGTGTCCTCCCATCCAGGAGCCTCAAACAATTACCGCAGCTAGATAAGGTGGACTCTTTTCATTTCACCACAGAAATGTCACCACTGTTAATGCATTCAATGCATCTTTATAATGCGTTTCATTCAAACTATTCATTTCACTCTACATGGAATTAACCTACGGGACCTGAGCTATGGGACACAACAATGCGCAATTATTAAATTCAGACATAAACATCCATCACAAAGAGCAGTGAGAGTGACCTCAGCAGCCTGCCTTGTTTAATTTGTAGTGCTTAACTAATCACACACATCAGAGAGCAATCAAAAACAAAGTAAACATACAAACACACACATATTGCAATAGGCTAGTTTTACAGTGCTCCAGTGTGCGGAGTACAGTGGAGACATAGTTGGAGCAGCTCCCAAATCACAAACACGCACGAACAGCTGTACAACATTCAGCCACTAGAAACCTAATCCTAACACACATTTACTTGTAGTAACTGTTTAATGACCAGTTCCTCCTGAGTGCAGTTTGCCAATAAGGGCCCATTTTCTACATTTTCTTGTGTTTATTGTTTTTTTTTTCTTAAGTTCACTTATGACGTTTGCGTGGTTTTATGTACCCAAAAAGTCAGTTCATTTTCACATGACCACCTCTTTTCTTTCACAGTCAAACAAGCAGTTTTTGTTACTGTGCTTTTAAGACTGATAATGACCACAATGACCTCCATTGTGAACGGCTGTCCTGTATCACACCTCATTGAGAAAGCAGTCCAGGCTGAAACACTCCTTATAACTTCAGCATGAATGGGCAGGGCTAAACTGCTGTAGGCTGAATAGGAAGATATATGTAAATGTGGTTTTGTGACATCACAAAAACAATGAATTCAAAACAGACAGTTAGAATGCATGGACTGTGTCCTAAACACATACACACACACACACATTATCAAGTCACTTATCCTTCTGGGTCATGGGGAGTGCTGGAGCCTATCCCAGCAGTCATTGAGCGGAAATCAGGAAACACCCTGGACAGGCCGCCAGTCCATCACAGGGCAGACACACAGACATATACAATCACAAACACATTCACACCTAGGGGCAATTTAGCATGTCCAAATGGCCTGACTGCATGTCTTTGGGCTGTGGGAGGAAACCCACGCAGACACGGGGAGAACATGCAAACTCCACACAGAAAGGACCCTAGACCCTTCTCGCTGTGAAGCAACAGCGCTACCCACTGCACTACAGTGCCACCCGTGTCCTAAACAATATGTCAATACAATTTTAATAATGTTTATATACTACATCAAACTTTTCTCTATAAAACAGACAAGGACATTTGGCTTTTCCATGATAGGAGCCCTTTAACTTTGCCTTTTCTCTTACAAAATGACAGCAGATTTTCCATGAAATAAAGATAAAGAATAAAGAAAACATTGTCCTCTGGCATTATTACTAATAACAGAGCACTTAACGTTGGTTTCCACTACATGATAAAAACATAATAAAGTACAATAAAGTATAATAAAGTGTAAGTGCCAACATTTTTTTTGCACACCTTTGGACTGCACACTCTATCAAGCCAGTCTGATGTATTCAGCAACTCTGTGCAAAGCTAAATATGGGCTACAGCATGTAAAAGCCAACAGTGCATTACAATAAAAGCTGCTCATGCTCTGAGAATAGCTGCAGATGAAGGAGCAGCCTGAGTGGAGGCAGAAGCAGTGTATCCAGTTTAACGCGTCTCCTGTTTTAAACACAGTATCTCACCTACTCCTGTGTTTACTAACAAGAGAGAAGATAAAGAGAGCGCTCCGCTCCAATGCTGTCAAACCAAACTCGTTATCATATTCAACAACAAACAGGCAAGAGTTGTTGACTCTTACCTTCGTTGTCCAGGTTGCTACCTAAACACGCGGCTACGAGCATCACCAGGACGTGCAGAGCGGCCAGGCGCGCGCAGCTGGACCTCCTTGTGTGTGACCACATGCTGCCCGCGTATGGGTGACCGGGCGCTCCTGGCAGATCACGGCTACAGCACCTTCATCATCATCATAATCATCATCATTATAGGGGCAACAGCTGCAGCGCTGCGCACATCACTCACTTCCACACTGACTTCCACATGCACGGTCAGCTGTTAGAGTCCAGCCTGCACGCGAACTTCCCCAGCCTGAGAAACGAGTGGAAGAGCTATGAAGGAGTGAGAGCGCTACAGGAGGAACGAGGGAGCTAAACAGGGAGCTGAAAGTACTGGCGAAGCGGGAGCGAGGAGTTTCTAGTCTCTTTCCTGCTGAGAGAGCTGCATGTCAGCAGCGCTGCAGAGCGAACAAAGTGTTGAATTGAGAGCGAGCACGTGCTGCCCGGGCTAAATGGAGGAGGGGGGTGAAGGGGGTGGGCTGGGGTTGCGCTGCAAGGTCCTAGTGCCTTCTTGTCCTACAAACAGCTAAAACTAGGGGTAGATGATACACTATATTATGGAGCCCTGCTGGTGACATCCCATATAAATAAAAATAATGCGTGGCCACGCCTTATTAACGCGTGAAAACGAGATCCTAATGCGTGGCAGCGACTTAGTAAGGCGTGGGAATGAGATAATTAAGTCGTGGCCATGACTTGGTAAGGCCACTAGGTGTCCAAAAGTTTGCACACACCAGCTCATCTGCATTTCTTCTGAAATAAAGGGTAACATGGTTGATAACAACAGAAGAACCCTCTTTGGTGCTATTTAGAGCCCTTTTCCAAAAGGTTCTATATAGAACCATCTACAGCACAATCTCCATCCATCTGAAGAACCCTTTCGAGATGCAAAGAACCATTGAATCATGCAATGATTTGGATTGTTCATGGGCCTATATAGAACCATTTTCTTTACTGAGGAGCCATCTTTTTAAAGACTGTATTAATAGTGAGTTTGTCCCCCTCGACTCTTCTGCACTGTAAAACGTAACTGAACTTTTGTTTGGTTTACTAATTTATTAAAATTACCAGTACAATCTAACACATGCGGAAGTCCAGAGAGGCCATACAATCTCAAGATAACACACACACACACACACATCATCTAAACCTCTTATCTTCCTGGGTCGCGGTGGGGAGCTGGAGCCTATCCCAGCTGTCATTGGGCAGAAGGCAGGATACACCCTGGACAGGTCACCAGTCCATTGCAGGGCATCTCAAGATAACAATCCAGAAAATTATAGCAACAGCTCATGGCCTCTCCGTACTTCCGTAATCACATACTACTTTTTGTATTATCCTTAGTTTCTTAGGGAAATCTAGTTATGATCAGTTCAGTCCTATAGCCTGAAGAGTCTTGTGCCCAAAAAAATCTTCTCAGCACACTCAGCATTTTTGTTGTTTTCTGGTAAATTAACTCTTATTTTTCTAATTTATGAATATAATTCCCTTTGCAAAGTGTTATTTGGATGCATTTTACATGTTGTTGTGATTCCCACCATTATGGTGTTTTGTGTGTACCAGTTTGGCCAATTACCATGAATGCTAACAGAATGATTACTATGTATGAAGCCATCAGAGTCCTCAGAAATGGGTGATTCTAATCTTATTTAAACCATTTATTTGTTACCTTATTACTTTAGTATATATAAAGTATATTATACCACTAAACACAAATCACGCTTCATGGACAGCTGTACACACACATTTGTTGATGAGTTGAATCCAGAATCCGATTCCCCTTTGCATGCACGCAGGTCACGCAGGTCACACAGGCATATGGACGCTACAGATTATGTTTGCAGTTTCAGTTGTTTCTATGTTCCTGCATAATGCAAGTGCATGTGAAAGGGAGTCAGACTCTGCTGGCGAGTCAGAAATTCAGCAGCAACAAGGACAACATCAGAAGAAAAAGAACTACATTGACTTACAAGGTAGAGTAATATTACAGAATGTTGTTACAGGAGGGGTTGCAAACTTATTTGGCATAAAATTGACAAAGACTGACCAAACTTGTAAGTGTGAGATAAATTTATTTCTTTGCATTCTAGTCTGAAACAAGACTGAGGTTACATGACTTTTGGCATCCAGAAACACTATAAAACTCCATGAGACAGGGATGACACAGATAAGGTTACAGCATACATTGCAATCCTCCATAAATAACATTGGCAGGGATGAACACTCTGCTGTCAGTTTTTTGTTGTTTTCCCATCAGCTGTGAGACTGCCTGGCACCCTTTTATCTCTTTTATCTCTCACAAATGAGTAAAAGCTAGTCCGAGATTTACTGTAGCATATTTACTCTCTCCTATTCTCTTCCTTCCTTCCTCAGACAAAGTCTTCTTCTGTCTCTGCCATGATGTCCATGCTGGAAATAACTAGCTAGCTTCTTATAGTTAGCTGAAGATAGTTGTTGGTGTGTGCCGTGGTGCCATAAAGCATTACGCAGTTCTCGGGAGAGGTCTCCTGCTTGCTCCTCCAAAGTTACATAGCACTATAGCAGGCATTCCAGCCTGGAGTGCCAATGACAGAGACGCCATTCTCCCTATTATAAGTCAGTGTGGCATCAAAATGGTTTTGAAGTTATTATTTGAAGGCAAAATTGCAACATAATGTTGCTTCAATATAATGAAGCTGTTTTAATTTATGCCAATACATTAGAAAAGGGGGAATATTATTCAAGTTAACACAACTAGTTAAAGAGTAAGCAGAACTTGAAAAATTAGAGTACTGCCAGCTCAATAGAAACCATTTATAATTACTGAATTGTTTGAGTTAACCTTACTTGCAGCAGTAGTGTGGATCACTGAAAATTAGCAAGTAAGTATAACTCCTATATAAAGTTATTTAAGCTTGTTAAGTAACTTTGCTTAATTCTTTTAAGGTGATACATTTGCATGACTTTTTTTAAGCGAAGTCCACTAATTCAAGCTTGCAGTATGGGAAGGCTGTACACCAGAAGTTGGAAAATTGCTGTGAGAATTTGATTGCATTCAGGCACGAGAGCATTAGTGAGGTCGCTCATCACCGACTCATCCCATAAGTACTACATGGTGCTCCATCAGTCCAGAGCAGTGTTTCCCAGCCCTAGAGGCACACAGCCCTGCACAATTTAGTGCCTTTCCTGTGTTAACACACCCACTTCAACTCAGTAAGGGGCTGTTAATGAACTGATTAGTTGGATCAAGTGTGTGGGGAACAGAGAAGACAATAGCTGTGTTCACATACTACTATACTGCACATACTACATTAATGAGTGGACTTGGGTGGTGTAGTACTTTTGGCATACTATTTGGTAAGGTAGAATGTGGTTTTGGACACAGCCAATGAAATGTTCAGGGCAGGGTGCCTCCAGGACCACGGTTTAGAAAAACTGCTCTAGAGAAAATTCCCCTGCTCCACAGCCCAATGCCTCTCTACTTGATGTGTGGTACTGGGTTTTGTGACCTTAGGCTCATATATGGCTTCTCCAGAGTGTCTACTTCTTTTGGCAGTACTTTTCTATGGAGCTTGTACACAAGCTGTATACAAAACTTTTATGTACCGTGAGTGATGAAATCCACAAGTTCATTGCAATTTTACATTGACAAACATTCTTCTTAAATTGTTGCAGTATTTGCTTGTGCAGTTTTTCACAGAGTGGTGAACTCTTCATCATCTTTACTTCTGAAAGACTCAGCCTCTCTGGGATGCTCTTTTTATACCAATTCATGTTTTAAACCTGTGGCCAATTTGTTAGTTGTGAGATACTCCACCACATGTTTTTTTAGCATTGCATAACTTTACCGGGTTTTGTTGCCCCTGTCTCAACTTTTTTCAAATGCTGGAATGAAAACAGGGATATATTTCTCAAAAAACTTTAAAATTTCTCAGTTTCAAAATTCGGTAAGTTGTCTTTGTACTATTTTCAATTAAATATAGGGTTTAAGTGATTTGCACATCATTGCATTTTGTTTTTATTTGTATTTTGCACAGTGTTTGAAACTGTTTGGAAACAGGCTTGTAAAATAGAACAAATAAAATATACAGTCAAAGGATAAAAGTACAAATACAGCTATTTTCACACCAACTGGAAAAGCTGAAAAGCACAAGTACACAAAATGGGTTATTAAGGGCCGTGTCACTGTCAGAGGTCTTATTCAGTACAATTTTTCAGATCATATAATTAAAAAGATAAAATTCTTTGGTCAAAGTGTAATGATTTTTCCTCACCTCAGAACAAACATCTGCTGATTTTCAATTACATCACCGTCCACCAGTGATATCATGTTTCAGGTTCCTCCATCTATCATTGCGTGAAATGCTCAGCTAGAAGAGATCCTCACTGATACATGTGGAAACACATCATAGTACGGAAGGAAAATGGATTATGATTTCCAGTTCATCTCAACTTTAAAGTAGCTGAATTCATTAAATTAGTGTCTGGATGCTTTTGTACATGTAGTGGACCTCTGGCTTTCTATCCTGATACAATGAAAAAACTGATGCTCTGAATTTATTTGATTCAAATGCATCAAATTCACATAAATTTTGTAATGTATTGCAAGACAAAGTTGTGCTGATGTAACATTTTTATTCTACTTCAAATGATGTTCAAAATTCTGTGAAGTAAATCGAATGCATCACTTTTTTAGTGTACCAGTGCCAATACTAATAGTTTTTACAATCTTTGTGTTCACATAGAAATGATCAGTCTTTACAGTGATCAATAATCACAAATGATTACACATTTGCTCATTTCTACAGCAAAACTGGTAAATACAGGTTTTGATAAAAAATAAATTCAATTGTCTTTGCATTAGTTTTAAATAAACTGACCAACCCAGCCGAGTATGTTCCTATGGCTGTGAGTATCAGGCTGCTTATGAAATTACTTACGCAGAGAGTGTTAATAATGTCAGATTTTGCACGTTTCATGCCCCTGTCAGACACAGAGGTTTGGTGTGAGCTGTATGAGCTCATTAGTGCGCTGAGGTACCTGCTTGTGCTCATTACCAAGAGAAAGGACAGAAATTAGAAAAGCATTGTGATGTATGTATTGTGGTCAGTGCCCAAATGTTCAATGAAATGACCTTTAAAGGAGTAGGCTGGCCAAAACAAAATCTAATTTACACAAAATTCCCCCTGCAGCTAGTCAGCCAAGACATGTGGCCACATTGCAAATGCTGCAAAAATGGACAAAAGTAGGCAGCATACACAACACCAGATCTGAGAGTCTAACTGACAGTCAAAAAGACTGAAAAGACCATGGCAGAAAGGCTCCTCGGACCAACTTTTAAAACCCTGCAACACAGAGATGTTTAAATAGCCTATACTAAAGAGGGAAAAGGACATTCAGTTGTGAAATCTGTTGAACCCTGACAGGTGTTCTAGGAGGGGAACATGACAGC